GGGCAGCAGCCAGGAGAGATGGCGAAATTGAGAAATTTGAATGCAAATCAATCGAAAGTGAATGGAAATAAAGCCCGATATGAGGAAGTAGCTGAGTTGAGCGGCGGATGTACGGTACAGCAGACGTTTTTGATACATACATGCAGATCCATTAAAACAATCCATTTAAAAAATATACCCTTTAATAAATGAAACTCTTAAGCAATCGAATATTGCGTAAATTGAATTCTCTTGCTCTCTGCTTTAATATTATTTAAGCTTAATGGAAGCAGACATCGACTGCGGCATCTGTGACGTTCCCAGACATTGATCCGCTTCAACAACGGTCCCAACAACTACGACGACGACAACAACCACAACAACAACAACAACAACAACTGCAACGTATAATCATAACAAAAAGGCCGGCAAAACAAAGGCGGCGATTGGTAGACATCGAATGGAATCGCGTCGGTTCGCTGATTTAACGCTGATTAATTGGAGCAAAATTATTATTATAGCTTGTTATTGTGGCGCTATTAATGCGCTACTTCTTTGTTCTCTGCCGTTCCTCGGGGCCTTGACAAACAAGGAGCTGCTCTGTGCTGGCTGGGCCCAGCCTCTGTAATCAGATTGGATTGGAGCGCAAAGAGCGCTTGGGCGGCAGCTGCGATAGAAAGGTGTGCTTTCACCTTGGCGGACCTTCTAATTGATTTTCAAGAGCCTTGTTCATTTATAACCGCGATGTGCTAGCATTTAACCAACTTGCAATATCGCAACCAAAAACAAATCCTTAAATTGCATAACATATCGCTCTGCGACGGCCACCATTTATCAAATTCAAATAAAGGTGGGCAAGGACCAAAGAGGGTCCATCTATCGGCACTTCACAAAAACAAAAAACCAAAAACAAAAACATAAAAAATAAAAAGCAGAAAGTCAATCGAATAGGCGAGTGGGATGAACTCATGCCAGATACTCTGGGAGTAAACGTTTAATTTTATATATATTTATTATTAAAAATCTTTATTGATTGGTAAATCATATTAAATTTATATAAATATATT